ACACACCACCACCACCACCACCACCACCACCACCACCACCACCACCACTGCCGCCGCCACTTGTTTGCTCGGTTTTTCCCTTTGAGCGGGTCTCGAGGAAATGCAGGGGTTGGGTTTTCACGTATGACCTCCATTATTATGTAAGTGCGGTTGAAGAGAGGGGGACATGACACCATAATGAAGTCAATGACCTCTTAAGACTAAAAGTATACGAACTTGAAAGTCTGGGTTAATCATGCATGTTGACAATGCACGACTGTTTGCAGTTTTCTTTTTGGGGTTGTTTTGTGTTTGTTTGTTTGTTTGTTTGTTGTTTGAGGGGAGGGGGGGGCGGGTTGTTACTGTTTTTTGTAAGTATTTAACAGCGCTCGCAACTGCATACGGTCATATATATTATTATGAGCGCGGGGGACACATTAATTTAAACATTTTCAGTTTGGTAGGAATTAATTGATTTTGAATTTTGCCCGGGTGGCGGCCGAAACCTATTCTTATCGATTTTAGGACCACCAAGGGATCTTTAACGTGCGCAACTTGTACACGAGGCCTCCGTGGTTTTTCACCCTTATTCGAGAAGGCTAGGTGTTAGATACTTACCGTGAGATCAGAGGTGTAGCTTAAAGACATCAGTAGGGAACCAAGAAACAGAAGTAGAAAGGCAGCAAAAAGAGTAAGGAGCCCAGAGGAGAGGGCAAAGGGGGAAGGGAGGGGGAGACGAAAGCAGACGACAGAACATGGTTAGAGAGCAGGAAAGGAGGTGAAAGGAGAACATTAATTTCAGAGAAGACATTTCTCCGTCGCTGTCAGGTTTCGAACCCGGGATCCATTCAATGAGAAGCAAACCCGTAACTCTAGACCACGAGAGGCCCCTTTGCATCACTGTGAGAGAAATGCATTAGTATGTAATATAGAAGGAGAAAGTAGGTGGTTGATGGGTGCTATGGTGTGGTTTTCTCTTTCTTTTTTATCAATATCAAACACCTAACGTCCTTATCTCTCCTCCTTTTTTGTGTGTGTTACTCTTCGGTACGTATAGAACCTAACCGTGTTGCAAGTGCCGTAAAATTGAAACAATAGAGGTATTCATTCCTTCTTAAACACACGTACCCATAGTGCTCTGCAATTTTGAGGAAACAAAACTTCATTGACGCTTCGAAGTGTGAAGTAACTGTTCGGGCTATTCGGATAACGCATGAAAATGGGTTTTTTTTTCTTCTTATATAATATAAATTCATTAGCAACATTTGCTATTGAAAAGTAGTGAATATTTCTTAGAGATAAGTTTTACAACTATAGCTGGCTTCACTTATCACTCTGTTTCGTTATCACCAAGTACAGAGTGCAGTTGTATTTACCACTGTGGTTTCAAAAATATAATTCTAATTTTACAATGGGTCGAGAAATATGAGATGAAAATCCATTTTCTGTAAGAATCACACAATATTTGAAAGGCTCGGCCTGCCACGCTTCGAATAGCTGTGAATACTGCAAAAATTGTGGATGCTGAATAGTAAAGCTGAAATTATGGGCGCAACTCTAGTGTCCCCAAGAGAGGTCATCAAACTATAGTCCACGCGGCCGGCGATGTCAGTTCGTCTGGCCTTGGGGAAGAAAAAAACAAACAAACAAAAATACAAAATACAAAATACAAAACCTTGCGTTAATTGCGTGCTCAGGACTCGGTCACCGTCATCATTGGGAAATGTCATTGAAACTGAACGACAATACCTTGCAAATCAAACGTGTGTGTGTGTGTGTGTGTGTGTGTGTGTGTGTGTGTGTGTGTGTGTGTGGTTTTTGTTGTTGTTGTTGTTTTTTTTTGCTTTTTTAAATAGATTTGACAACTTCTAGCTAATGTCTCATGCTCTTCCACTGCTTCAACTCACTGAAGACGCACACTCTGGTCATTCGACATCGCTTGACGATGCGCTGTTTTGGGGTAGATCTTCTTCTAAAAAAGCATAATTTCATAATTCGTACAGATTTTTTGGGTCAGTTTTCTTTACCCGAATTAAAAGGCGATCAACAACATGCATAATGTGACATATGCGAACTGGTGCCTCTGAATTTTGTGTATAATTGTTCAAAATATCGCTACCATAGAATTACAAAGTTCTATCTGCTCAGTACCTAGATTTGAGAGATTTGACACTAACAATTTTGAATTTCGCAACAGGTCTTGCATTTTCGAGTACAATTCTTTGAATATTATTATCTTGATAACGACTTCGAACAATATTACGATTTTGATTGAGCAGATAGAACATGGTTTCTGACCTAAATGTCTTAATAACTCAAAACGGCCAGAAAGGTCATAGAACTGTCAAATGCAACTTTGTGATTCTGAGGTAACGATATGCCACAACATTGCCTTTGGTCTGCCGTTAGAATTGTTGGACATTAGTCGTGTGTGCTACGTTCTTAGATAATAAATGTAACAAATCCTTTATTTAACATTCTAATGAATATATTGCATTGAACAAAATAGTTACCCGGTCCACTATCATAAAAGCTGGGTGACTTTTGCGTCAGAACGTCGAAGGAAGAATGGGAATTATTTTAACATCCTTCATCCTTTTGATCAACGTTTTTCCAGTAAAATGAGCACAGAAATGTGTTTTTTTTAAATAGACATAAAAGGTGTTGAGCCGGGGAAAAAATCTTCCCAAAAAAAAAATAATTTGCCCAACTGCTAGAAAAATGCCAGTTTGTCTTATTTCATTATTTTTAGGGGCTCCTGGTTTCACCACGATGCTTCCCTAGTACGTCTTCACCACAGAGGCTACAAATATTTCTATTCATAACCTCTTTGGTTTTCCCACATCACTTGGATCCTAGCCCGCTGCTTCCCATTATAGTAGCAACAACACGCCC